GCTCTTAAAATATGTTACCCTTAAAATGTTTGGCCATGGAGCAGTGGGTCTGTGTCTTCTGAATATAAATGGGCTTGTTACTGATTGACCAATAAACTATAGTAAAAGCAATGCTATATGACTTCAAAAGGTATTATCATAAAAGGTCATGCAACTTATTCTTGGTCCTCTTAGAAGGTTTGCTCTCTACATGTTCCCTTTTGGAACCTACTATTTTATTGAGAAAAGCTAAGCAAGTTGCAGAGGCTGCTATCAGTGATCCAGGAGATAGGCTTTGCCCAGGTACCAAACATTAAAAAAAAAAAATCCTCCAAAGAATTACAGAACCCATCCACCCATCCTTAGGTCCTGCGTCTTAGGGAGCCAAAAAGTCTTATCTACTATGCCTTCTGTCAATTCCTAACACAGAGAATACTTGAGCATAAAAATCATTGTTGTTTTCTATCATTTTAGAGGGTTGATTTGTTATTCAACAGTAAACAGCTGGTATAAAAGATGCCAATTTTTAAAAATCATTTTATTAGCGGCTCATACAACTCTTATCACAATCCATACATAAATCAATTGTGTAAAGCGCATTTGTACATTCATTGCCTTCATCATTCTCAAAACATTTGCTCTACACTTAAGTCCCTGGCAAAAGATGCCAATTTTATTATGCTTACATTCAGTACAATCCCAATAAAAAAACGATAGCTGTATTTTTTGGGGTAGAAATCAACAAACTGATCCTAGAATTACTCATCACAAGTGTCCTTCCCGTTGAGGAAAAAGAACAAAGCTAGAAGACTTCCACTACCGGATTATCAAGTTTAATTATAAAACTACAGGAGTTAGAAGTGTGATATCAACACAAGTATAGACCAAGAACTGGAGAAAGGAAAGAAACGTCTCAACATATCCTCTATCTAGGTCTTTACACTTCTAAAGGTGGTGTTTCCATGCCCATCTCTCTAGCCCTCCCCTTCCAGCCCCCCTGAAGTCTGCACTCTAATTTACACCATGTCAAGACACTCATTTTAACATTCTTCAGGGACTCAAATAGTGTTCCTTTATAATATACCTTAAATGTTAGGAACGATGAGAAACCTCAGGTTTCAAGGCTGTATGGTGGGTGGGGTAAGGTTACCTACCGTAAACTTCATAGGCCAGCCCGTGCTAATCTCCAAGAACAAGCGGGTGCATTGTTGGGATGGGAAAATATCACTCCATCAAATTTTCCTGGCTTTTACTCACTAATGGGAGTTTCCATTTTCTTAAAACTTCCTAACCTGCGATTGTCCCACGCCCTTTGAAAAAAAAAAATCTATCAAGATTCCTTCTTTGGAATTCCAAAAAAAGTCAACATAACTTTCTGAGCTGTCTTGAATGTAATCGTCCCTACAGATTCCCCTGGAAGCCATTTTCTACTGCACCTTCTTCTTTGATGGCACCCTAACAAGACTAAGACAGGGTGTTACCCAGAGAATTTGTCTGCAGCCACCCACTGACCAGAGAGATAGGTTTAAACCTCTTTAATTAAACCTAATAAGCTGGAACCCTTGTAACAATGCTTTTTAACCCACTATTATATGTCTATTATCTGATTGATGGCAAAGGTGGCACTGCAGTATCATGCAGGAAAAAACAGTCTTTTCAGCAGATGAGTAGGCATCAAAATTGAAAGCATTTTGCCCCTTCACAGCTGCTGGAGGAAGAGGTCAGTTTCCCCTTGAGAGAGAGCACCGGCCACCTGCAGATGGATTCCTCCAGGCCCCACCTGGCGTCCATTTCCCCCGACTAGCTGAGTGTAACCATAGGCTGAGCCCAGAGAGACCACGGAAACCAGTGGTGACACACACATTCCCTGTGCTGTTGAAGTATTTCACACACAGCTTGTGTTTGAGTGTACAACTTTATCTTCAGCACTAATGAGATATTAGCACACCTTTAAAAATCATATTTATGTACCACTATAGTAAAAATAACTTCATGAATTCCTTAGACCCGACCACTATTGAAACCAAGAAAACGATAGATGAATTCCTTTTGTTTTGTTTGAAGATGATTTTCAAATATCCGATTATAAAGATACCCCAATGTCTAATACTTTTAAGTTAATTTTCCTTGTTCCTACTAACTCAATTCATTTACAATTGGAAACTGTACTTTTTAGATGTAAAGAGCTAAGAAGAGCATAGTTTCTTATGTCAAGTGACACAAATGAGCGACATATCAACTGGAATGTCACCGAGACACTATGGCATTACAAATTATTCCTACAAGCAAAATATCCGCTGTCCATAGTCTGTTCTCACAGCAATCAAATATCAGAAAGACTAGTTTGTAGAGATTACCCAGCCCCCCTCCTGCCACCCAATCTACATATCGAGAAAGAAATAACTATTCATGGCAATTTTTATAAAATTAGATGAACTCTACCTGATGTCCTATTTGTATAACAACAGAACAGTTAGAGTAGCAGTATAAAAATAAGAACTTTTACAAATAACAAGCCTTTCTCTTTACGACAACTAAAATTAAAGCTTCACTTTGCTTTAGGGATACTTTTTCTGCACGTCTTGACTTCGCTAATATAGTGATAGAACTGTAATTTTTTAAAATTTCAGATTTGTTAGTTTGCTGTCTCTTAATAGACCAAATCTAGCAGTCAGAACACACAGGAACTCTATTTATAGGACCATGGCCAAAGCATTAATTAGTTTCCATGGCTAGTCTTAACAAGAATGAGTCACAGCACCGATGATGCTACCACAGAGCCCAAATTTAAAAGCATCATCTATTGGACTGGGCTGGACTCTGAGTCCAGGTCAGATCCACTATCAATGAAAAGTCACAACATAAACAGTTGTCTTTTCCTTTAAGAAGGAAATTAAATCCCCCATCTTTCTTTTAAAATACGGAATTGTAAAAGTGGAATTCTGTTAAACATCAATGACTGAATCATGGGTAAAAATGGACAGACTGTGGTTAATAAGTAACGAGAGAAATGTAAAACTACAGGAGAGCATTTTTATAATGCATTCATTTTAAGAGAGTTATTCTTACGAGAGAACGCTTAAGGCTGCTCTTAGATTCTTTGTTCACGTAACATCTAGTCCTTTGGTTCTTTAGTTGATTTATAAACTAATAATAATTTTTCCTTATGCTCCTTGGTGGCAAGGATGGTGAGAATCCATCTCATGTACTTTGGAAATGTTATCCGGGAGACCGGTCCCTGGAGGCCATCAAGTGTTCTGAGCTGGAGGAACAGAGAAAAAGAGGAAGGTGCTCAAGAGGATGACTGGCGCAGTGGCTGCGATCGTGGGCTCACACGTCGCACAGCTGTGAGGCCAACGCAGGGCTCGGAGCGGTTCCATTCTGTGGTGCGTGGGGTCACTCTGAGTGGGGAATGTAAGTCTAGACGTAAGTATTATATATGGTTGACACAGGGATGGATGCAAAGCTCAAACTTGAGGAGTTATATGCTGTTGACATCATCTCGAAAGGATCGGGAGTGAGAGAAATATTGGCCTCACAACCTGTATTACTGATCTGAAAACTATATCCCAAACCCACGTTGATGCTCGTTCTCAATTACGCCTTTCCAAGGACTTACGAGGTATAGGTCCTAAATCCCCAAGAAGTTTCTGCTTTCCTTCACTCTGAGGAATGCTTTTAATTTCGTTTTAAGATGTAGGTAACTGGGGGGGTGGGGGGGAGTGAAGGGGGAGTAGCTGATAACCTCATTGTAGGAATTAAGGTAGACAGATATCCAAATATTGCAAAAATAATTTTCCCAAATTGCGACCTGACTGGTTATTATATCATCACTACTGAGCTCTTTAATATGATTAACTAATGATGAGAACTTGTGCTCCCTTTTCAACATACTGACTTTATAATGAAAACAAAAAAAGACAATAAGTGGGATATTTCAAATATTTTAATGAAAAAAACGACAATTTCAAAAATAAGCATCATACAAATAAAAGTTTAGAAGTGAAAAATATTCAAGGAACAAAATCCTTGATTATTAAAATATACTGAAGATGAAAAGCTAATGATGTTTAGTGTTCAAATTCAGGGCAAGTTTAATTTATAATAGTATAGCTAGTTGTGTTTTTCATGATGTGGCTCTTTAAAGCTGTCACTCTTAGTTACTTTTTTATATTCTATATTTTCTTAAACTGCATTTCATTTAAATTATTTCATAGTCATTTATAAAAAAACAGCATATTTTCTAGCAACAGTTTAATTTGTGCTTTAATAAGGAATCTTGATAAAATACTCAAGTGACTTAAAAGTTTTATGACTCCACCCATCAGTCTTGTAGTTATTCAACCAGTCCAGTAGCCAGAAGACCTACAACTGCCCTTAAAAGTAGAGCTCATGTAAATTGAATAGCATGTTCAAGATTAAAGAGATGTATTTTTTCCATATTAAAACATTAGAATTTTATTTCTCACTGTAAAAGTTGTCATGTTAACTTAAGTTACTCAGTTCAAAATTTATAAAATATGGAGGAAAGCATCATTTCAGTGTTTGCTTTCTGACATCTATAGGACATTAATACATGTTATTCAAATTAGGATGGCATTACAATACATTTTAGGACTTCTAGCTTTAAAATTTCCAACAAACATGTCAGTTCCATCTAGAGGGGTATTTTAATTCATTAACCTAGTTATTATTGTTATTGTACAGACATATTCTCAGTATGCAGGATATTAGCATATACTCATTTCATTATCCTAGTAAATCATTTTAGATGTAATAGAAACCTCTCAACTTACTCGAAATTTTCCACTATCACGAAAGCATCACACAAATCCTCTTATAAAGAGACGCTTCAGTAGAGACATGAATCTAAAACAATACAATCTCCAACGCATGACGACCACTGTCACACACCCCCTCCACTCATAACTTGGAATTAATTATCATGCAAAATTTACTAGATTTTTGATGCTTACCTATAAAGTAATTAAGTTTTCTTTCTCATAAGTAATCAGGACAAGTAGTAGAAAAAGCATTTTATTTATATGGAAAAAGCTACAGTAAGACCTGTAAAAGGTGTCGATATAGTATTGCCTATACAGAAAAAAACTCAAATGTGAATAGCAACAAATAAAAGTTACACATCTTCCTACATAGCAGTGCAATTAATTCACATTGCAATAAAGTTAAGTCAAGTATAACAAAATCAAAACAAGTGTTTCTCCATTAATCAGTATGTTGAGAATTACAGTGTAAAGATCATTTCAGGTTTTAAGAAATCTTCCATCAATCTACAGAATACCCTAAGATAAGGGAGACAGACAGTTAATTCATTTAATTATCAGCTGTTGAGTTTCTTCAATACTGTTCACAGGAAAAAAGTCATAAGTTGATGCACATGGTAAATAGAATATATTTCATCTATACAGTAAAAAAATACAAATTATAAAGTGAGCTAACAAAGAATGAAATCTGAAGACATTTATAAAACTGACGACGTCTTAGACGGCACAGACAGTATTTCTCATGTAAAAACACCTAGTTTCAGCAAAAAATAATTTGGTTGCTTTTCAGCTGCATTGTAGATCTTGTAAGCTGAAGATGCAGATGTCCAAGTATCTTAAAAACCATAATAAATGTCTTTCTCAAGGCATACAAAACAATAAATGCTCTCATCACAGTCTTATGAGTATTTTTGGAAGTTTTTTGTCTTGCTTCAGAAACACATTTAAAATGGGTAAAAAATCAAAGAGTTTCATGGTACACTGAAACAGTAAACAGTGCTCAATTTACTGCTAATATTGACGGGGGAAAAACAATCCTAGATTTTACAGTACTCTGGTATATATGAAAAATTTTTTCCGCATTTACATGGCATATTTCTGAGTCCACTCTCGTGCGTGTCTGTTGTATCTGTGGGTAAATAAAGGAAGACAGTGAAATACACACATTTCATTTTTAGAAGTATCGCGCCGAACAAAAAATCTTACCATAGTGAATGATGGGGGGAGTGCGGAGTGGAGATCCAAAGCCCATTAGTAGGCCACTGGAGATCCCCTTGCAGAGGGGTCTCAGGGAGGAAATGAGCCAGTCAGGGTGCGATGTAACAACGATGAGAAATACAACTTTCCTCTAGTTCCTAAATATTTCCTCCCCGCTCCCACTACCATGACTCGAATTCGACCTTGCAAGACTGGCTAGACCAGAGGATGTACACTGGTACAGATAGGAACTGGAAATACAGGGAATCCAGGGAGGATGATCCTTACAGGACCAGTGGTGTGAGTGGCGAAACAGGGAGGGTAAAGGGAGAATGGGTAGGAAAGAGGGAACCGATTACAAGGAACTATATGTGACCTCCTCCCTGGGGGACAGACAACCAAAAAGTGGGTGAAGGGAGACGTCGGACAGGGCAAGATATGACAAAATACCAATTTATAAACTATCAAGGGCTCATGAAGGAGGGGGGAGCGGGAAGGGAGGGGAAAAATGAGGACCTAATGTCGGGGGTTTAAGTGGAGAGGAAATGTTTTGAGAATGATGAGGGCAATGAATGTACAAATGCGCTTTACACAATTGATGTGTGTATGGATTGCGATAACAGTTGTATGAGCCCCTAATAAAATGTTAAAAAAAAAAAAAGTATCGTTCCATGGAAGACTCTAGTCTACCTTTTTTTTACATTCTACTTTCTTATGCTTACATTTCTTATGCTTATTATTGTAATTATCCTACACATACTAACTACAAGATGAAGGCCTAGTCTCATGCATAAAGAAAACAAAAGCAATAGTTATTTTTTTTTAATTATGAGTCATATGATGGATCTCTTGAAAACCCATATGAAAACCTACCTAAAACATCAAAAATAAAACAGAGAACCCAAATAGAACAGAAATCCAAAAAAGCCAACTCTGGAAGGGTCTTATCTGTAAATTGCAAAATGAATTACGGTATCAGCAAGATGAATTACCTTGAAAATAAATTCAGTTGAGGGGAGGGGGACTTAGTTAATTTATTTTCTTAGGAGAAGATAAAAAACATAAAATACAATGCTTTCTAATTATTAAATTACTTCATGGTTAGCTTACCATTTAAAATTAAACTTAGCTATCACCATTAGAAAATAAAAGCAGGTAATACTGTGCAAAGAAAAATTACTATTAAATATTGAATAACCAAGCAGTAAATGGGAAACCATAGGTTTTTTGTAAAGATAATAGAATTGAAAAAATATCAACTTATTATAACAAGAACATAATTAAATGTTCTTAAATTACTGGTAATACTCTTAGGACTTGGCAAACAACACACACACACACATAAATACTGCAATTTAATCTAAGTAAACACTTACTTTTCCTTGTCTGATTTGTAGATTTGGGCGATATCTGGTACTAAAGGGTCATCTGGATTAGGATCACAAAGTAGAGAACATATCGACAATAAAACTAGATTTAAAAAAGAACAACACCACATTAGACAATCATCTTTTTACTTTACACACACGACATGTGTGAAAACAAGCTCACCAAATATAGATATATTTGAAGATATATTATGAAGAAAAAAAATAAAACTATTAGTTTAAATTTTATACTAATTTTGGCTGGCAGCAAATATATGTATCTTTTAATTACAAAACTCAATTCTATTTGAACTTTCATTCATTTTAAAATGTGCACCTTCAAGGCACTGTCCTTGCTAGTTGCCACTGGCCCATTCTGGTCCATGGAACCCAGGGAGTGGAGGACGGGCTGTTCGGTAAGGCTTCCTTGATTGTCATCCGACGGGACAGCAGGTGGGCAGGCCTTCCCTCATGTTAACACTGGGGTCTAGCTGCCAACCTTAGGGAGCTATCAAGCACAAAGAGTGTGTGCCAGCTGGGGACCTGAAATAGCTCTTACCGACCTTTGAACTCAAAAGTTCTCTACAAAACTATTTTTAGAGAATGGATACCAGGCTCTAAACAGTATCTGATCAAAACCTTTTCAACATGCCACCCTACTTTTAGGTGTTTCTTAGAGGCACTATTTATAATTCTAATTTAATGTAGAGAATCTGTGATCTAATCAACTCCAGGTAAAGCAGTGACATGACTGGTAACAATGTTGGAAACCACATTCATGTGTTGTTCTACTTTGTATTAGGGCTACACGCTGTCTACAAAGAAGGGATATTTATATGATATCTTAAATGAATCTGTGTTTTCCATGTACCTCACATGCATTTAAAAATAATTAGAAGAGCGATCTTTTCATAACATGAGTAAGTTGAGATATAAATGACAAAAATTTCAAGTTATTTCTTGTTATTATAAGGCAACGGTTAGACTAATGCAGATAACTTTAAAAAAAAAACAGACCTAAGCATCTGAAATGGGAGGGAACGAGAATTCTGATGTCATTTTGCGGCTTCAATTGCATGCCACCACGTCTGTGGAATCTTTGGAACGGCTCCCATCTCCACCCCCCTCTGCCATCTTATGTTTCCGTACCCTTTCAAGTCTAAAACTGGAAAGACCGAGCTGACTTGGGTACAGTAAGGGCTAATGAAAAAATGAGTTCTACCAGTCTTCTCTATCTTTCCTCTGTCCACTGTAATTTCAAGTCTTACAATAGGAAACCATGGGGTGTCTTTCTAGGATAGCCTTTGCTTACACCCCAGCATGCTTCCAGACGATGCTTATGAGGGAAAGTAGAATCAGACATATTTGAAATCCAGAAAAGTGAAATGTGTGCAAGCCCATGAGTGAAATATGAGGTAGCATTGTATAACAAGCAAGAGGGAAGTTTCCTATCTCAAATCCCTGCCTCCAGGAGTCATTTGCCCCGATTTTACCATTATACATAAACCAAATCTTTTAAGATAAGGAAAATGGTGATAAAATTCACATTAATTTATGTGCCAGACACACAGGGACCCTAAAAAAAAAGCAACCACACCCACGGCCATCCAGTCAACGCCTCATCATAGTGTCTCGACGGGCAGAATCGAAGTGGTCTTAGAACTACAAACCTTGATGGAAGCAAGCCGCCACATCCGTGGCTGTGAGTCCAAACTACATGCTGTGTACACTCATGATAAGCCAAGTGTTTCAGCACATTTTTATGCAGCTTTTTAAAAAAACTTTTATTGGGGGCTCTTAACATCTCTTATCCCAATCCATACATTCATCCAGTTTGTCAAGCACATTTGCACATGTGCCAGCAGCATCATTTTCAAAGCATTCTCTTACCACGTAAGCCCCTGATATCAGCTCCCCATTTCTTCCCCTTTCCTCCCCCGTTTTATGCAGTTTTTGTGGTAAAATTAGGTGCCTCAGCTGATATTTGGGTCAGCTTATACTCAGGTACATACGGTAAACTTTTGGTGAGCCCTTGAGCACTTTAACAACTGTACAGCTAGAACCCCTTCCTGGTGACCATACATGGAAAACACTAAAATCCCCATTTCCCATAAGAGGAAACCAAGGCTATTTGATTTCTTAAAAAACAGTGCTTCCCGAAGCCAGCAATACTAATGTTTCTCCATAAGAAGTTACCAGTGTCAGAAGACAAGATAGGTGGTACACAGCACCTGGCAGTCTGCCCCTGCTTATCTATGTGTAAGTACTTTGCTGATGATGAAAACAAGCTTGCATTTCGTGAAGGGATTCCAGAAAAGAGCATTCAATTAATTTGAACAACTGTTTAACACACACTTTTACAGCCAGTGCACAAGAGTTAAGCTATGTGAATGATTTTAGAATGTTATACCTTCAGGTCATATGTCATTAAAAAAAATAAATGATCATGGATTCATATCACTAACTCTTCAAGGGAAACCTCTTTCTTGAATTCTACAGAAAAGGATAACTACCAAGTTACTTCAGGGACAGATACTTCTAGCCCAAACAATATTTTCCAAATGTCAAGTTATCCTCTGTTAGAAAAACAAGACACAAATTAAGAGTTCTGGCATAGGAAACCGTTTTGGCTAATGAAGCAGAAATGGCTTCAGATGGCCTATGCACACATCCGCTAACTGAGCAACGAGCAAATGCTCTACATCTTGCTGAGAGGCGACAATCAGCACAGATCATGCCAGTATTTCAGTGCTACTGTTGAATGTACATCTAGGCGGGCATGCTACATGTGCTGTCACTAGCCCAAAGTATAATAAATGGCTTTCATTTTGATGCACTTATTTTATTGGCCAAATATCCGTTTAGTTCTCCCTGAAAGTAAATCAAATGTAAAGTCTTACTGTGTCTATTTAATGAATGGACAACTGCCACGAAAATCTTATTTTGACTTCTGACTCTCTCTTTTTTAAAAAGATACACCCGAAACTAAAGGGGTAAAATGGAAATAGGTTTATGTATCCCCAAAGTTCCAGCACTCACATTTACATTTTCTTGTCGCACTGTTATTGAGATTTGCTCCTCCGCGCCCCAAGCGACTAATAAGAGACACAGTGGAGCATCACACAAAAGCTCCAAAAGGAAAGCAAAACAAAACATGGACTCCTTTTTAAAAACAACCTTGGACCTTACATACTTCTGCGGCATACTTTTCTGTCTTTATAAACTCATATGTACATATAATCTGATAAATGAAATTACCTTTTGATACAGTCAGAGCTGGTGACCACTGTGACCTCAGGATATCAAGACAAATACTTCCATTACTATTTATGTTTGGATGATAAATTTTTGTTGTGAAAGCAATCTGTACACAAAAACAAAACAAAACAAAAAGTGACAACCCATGAACTATGAACAAAACAAAACCCATCTGTTCTGGGGGGAGATGCCTCAACTTTATATCATTTTAGAGAAGAAATGTATTCAACCCAAAATGAATGAGAATTTTGAGTTACACATGTTCTAGCTATTGGGAAGGTGAACGCAAATACACCAGTGTCCCTCAACCTCTCCCCAAGGGGTTGAGAAGTACTGTGGAAACCGTGATGAGTTGCCGCCAATAGCTGGTATCAACTGGTTGAGTAGCATCCGATGTAATTAAGCCTTGCTTTCTTTCCACGGCAGAGCCATCCTTTTCCTTGTTTGTCTGTTTTTGTAATCCTTTTCATAAAGTGATTATGAGTGAGGTCTCAAAGTGACAGTTGGATCTAAAATTGGGGTTGCTAGCTGTGGTTTTCAAGGGAATGTTGAAAGGTCTTACTTTGCTAATCTATCTTAAGAAATCTACCAAAGAGCCTAGTATTCCAACAAGTTGTACCATGCCACTTCATATGAATGTTATTGTTTTAGAAACAGAAAATAATTATTTTCTGACCGAAACCATTAAAATAAAAAGTTCCCCTTTTGACATCCCCATCACTTGTCTGTTTCCTGTTTAAATACAATCTAAATTAAAACTGGTAAGAATGTTTTTATCTCCCAACACACCAAATAAGAGGTCTATGTCATATTTATTTTGATATTCCCTAATGAAACAGAACATGGTAGATTCTCCATCAATGTTTGTTCAATACTAAGCATGGAGTAAGAGAGGGAGGGCCAACTACTTTGAGAATACAATCCCTTGAATGGAAAAGTCTGATTCTTGACTATAAAAACTTCCCAATTTACACTTATCCAAAGACACAGGAAAGAAACAAAGTTTCTAGCATCACGGACACTGTCCTCTTGTTTTACAAACACAGCAAATATTTGCATAAGAAAGTCTATTGCATTGTCCCTCTCATTAAAGTGCTGTTATTAGTTGCTACCAAATAGGCTTCTAATTCACAGTCACCCCAAGTGTAATGGGACAGACATCAAAACCACTGTGACCCATATGGTTTTCATTGGCTTATTTTTTCAAAGTAGATTACCAGGCCTTTCTTCCTAGTATGCTTGTGTTTGGAGGGTCTGCTGAAAGAGGCTGGTAGTGGCTTTTGCCAGGAAGAGAACCCGAGTCTCCTGCATAGCAGATGAGAATTCTACTACAGAATCACCACTGCCCCGATGGACATCACAGTCGACAAAATCACAAAACGCTTCTAGGTGGTAAAATCCCAGCCCTGGGAGTCATATCAATCATAAAAATAAAAATACCTTTGGTGGTTTAAAAGGATAGTCTGTCGGAAAGTGTACAGTGAGAAAAAAGACGCCACCCTGATAGGCGCTGTCAGGCTGAAATGACAAAACATTCGCATCAGTGTTGAATTATTACATTTACTTAGTAACTTAAAGTAACTCTCCCCTAAAGATTATCCATTTAGGGGGGAAAAATAAGGCTTTTACTTTTTTGTATGCCATAAATTCAAGTTATTTACCTTGAAAACAGGTTTCCCTCTCTCAGCAGATGTGAAGGAGGATTTTCCAACCAATAATGTTGACATCATAGAGTATAAAACAAACAAACAAAAAAGCAGGACACACACACACAGTGGTGTGATATGCCCAAACAAATCTGTTTATGAATACAGACTTTCTAAGATGAGAACACATACAAGTCTGCTGTAAGAAAAGGATAATTTTCTGCAGTCGCAATCAGCATTTTAAAAAGGCTTAAGGGTAGCACTTTGCCTCTTCCTTAACAAAAAACACAAAGTTACAAAGAGAAACGATTAAGGGACACTGTTATACAAGTTAGACTTCAAATCTTCATTTGGAAACAGTGTATAAAATCTTAATGGGGGGAAAAAAGATATTAATGGGAAATATGCTACAGTTGATTAGTGTCTCATTCCAAATTCTATGTTGGTGTATCATTCAAAATAGTAGAGCTAATTTATATCCATAATGAATAAAGAACAAAAAAGGCCAAAATAAAGCTAAGTAAATTCCAATCTTTACTGAAGTATCAAATTTGGAATCAACTAAGCAAAGGGAATGTAAATTAGCCATCTTGCTTTGTGGCCAACAGAAAATATTTATGACAAGCCCGCCCCCCCCCCAAAAAAGAAACAAAAGACTAGAAAAAAGGGAGCAAAAATACATCTAAAATTACATTTCATACTCAACTAAATATACTATGTTATATAACATCTTGGTACAGCAGCAGGAGTATTATTATTTCCTTCTTAACTTTCTACATGTATCTATTAGAGGGCTGTGATAGATAATTATTCTTATGATATTGTTTAATTACAAGGAAGGTAGAAAACAAGCAAATGGAAATGATAGTTCAGTGTGCTTTGATGTTTACATGATACTATAGAGTACTATAGAGGGGCATGTTCACATTATTAAAATAAAGGGGGGAGGCATGTGTAACAGAATTATCCGCTACATATGATTTAACAAATAAATCTTTTAAAAGGCTACAATTTACATGTGAAGGGAGGGCTTTTAAATGGATAGCATTTTGAAGTTTGTTAGTAAACAATAAAAAACAAATGATTAGATTCTTATTGAGTTATTTAGATAAATACATGCATTTACCCTTAAAAAAAAACTAAACAATATGTTGATACTTACCTAGGAATCCTACACTGAATTTTTTTTTAAAAGATAAAGGCATGGCAATATAAATCCTGTGGCTTACTATACTAAAAGTTCTTTCATATGTTAGGGAGGAGGAATGAAGTTCGTGGATCTATGCTACTAATGCGCTCTGCTATGGATTGTATTGTACCCCGTCCTTGTCCCTGCTACCCCTCCCACAAATATCTGTTGAAATCACACATGACCTTGTTTAGAAATGGGGGTTTTCTTTTGTTATGTTAATATAGTCATACCAGAGCAGGATGGGTCTAAGCCTAATCATTTCTGCATTATAAAAAAAAGTAATATAAAAACAGAGACACAGATGGGGCAGACAGACCATGGAGGTCGATGTATCTATAATTGCTAGGCCAGGAATGCCAAGGATTGTGAGCAGCCACCAGAAGCTGAAATAGATGGAGACCCTCCCTAGATCCTTCAGACATCTAATCTCCTGAACTATGAGAAAATACATTTCTCTTCTTTAAACGACCCCCTTGTGGTATTTTGCCACAGCAGCCCTAGGAAACTAAACCACACTCTATCCTAGAATATAGTCGTGAGTGGTCAATGCCCATTCCTATATGACCAGGTTACTTTGCTCAAGAAAAGCTTGTTTCAAGTCCTAACTGCCTCTCAGGTGTACAAAGAAACATTTTAACCAAGGATAACAAATATTAATAGAAGTCAGTCATAAAACAACAGGTAATTTTGAATTCAGGAAAATTGCAACCATATTAAAACAACACACTCATGAGTTGGCAAAGACAGAGTCAGGGCAATATTTTATCAGTTTTCTCTCATAAATAGGAACAGTGATGAAACCTATCATTGCAAAGTGGTGCATTAATTAGACTTAGACTTATTTATGATCTAGTAAAACTATCAATATGTGAATGATTATGCTTAGTTCTGAGCCAATGACGTTGTGTGCGTGTGTTACTTTTTTAAAGATAAAGAAATCACATGTGGCTACAAGTCGTGGGTGACCCATTGCCATGTAGAACGATTAAGGATCAGGCAAAGGAGAACATGAACATCATGAATCCTTGATCATATTTTGCTTTCTGAGGTTTAAGAGTACAAGCAAATTCAATGTTAGCCACAAACATCTGATTGAAGGTGAATTGGCAAGAATGATGGCTGAAGGATTGATTGCAATATATGAATCATACTTACAGGCCCCATAATAGTTGCTTGCCAGTGGAACACTGCAACAAACAAAGGAGTTTTGGAGTCATTAACAAATGTTTAAACATATATTATTAATATGGCAGCAAAATCCTAGAAATAGAGCAAACCTTACAGTCATCTCCCACAGGTCCAGCTGAACAGTGAGCGGGTGGATCACGTTGCAAATCACTTAATTCCTAAAGAAAAGCAAAAATATTTATGGTTTATTTTTTTTTTTGAGGAAAACAATAAAAAACCCATTAAGAGGCAAATTATTTACTTTAAGACTCATCTTAGACAAGTCTATTCAAATTATGAAAACATAAAATTTATTGTCACTGAGAGAACAAAGAATGCAGAATAAAGTGTTACATTCCTTATTAATGAGACAGCTCCAACTACTGAAAAATTTACAGAGTAGCATGTTTCTAATACCCTGAAAAAAAGATATTCAAGGAGTATCAATTGTAAGCAGGGTAATTTATATAAGTGAACAGACATAAGAAACAAATCCATTTCCCAAGAGATTTATAGTCTAAGGAGGAAGAGGGAAAGCTTACAGATGGATATTTAAGGAATAACGAAGTTTAAAAAAAAACAAAAACATTGTCATTGAGTTGTCCTTGCCTCACCAGGACTCTGGAAGATGGAACAGAACTGCCCCATATTGTCTAAGGCTGTACTTCGTTTCTTTTTTTCTAAAATTTTATTGGGGGCTCATACAACTCCTATCACAATCCACACATACATCAACTGTATAAAGCACATTAGTACATTCGTTACCCTCATAATTCTCAAAACATTTGCTCTCCACGACGATGCTTTTTTAAAACATGTATTCTGCCAACCTGTGGCTTTTACCTTTTTTTTTTTAGCACATTTGTACATTCATTGCCCTCATCATTCTCAAAACATTTGCTCTCTACTTAAGCCCCTGGCATCAGCTCCTCATTTTTGTCCCACCCTCCCCTCCCAGCTGTCCTTCTTTACAGAAGACCGCCTTCTCTTTCTCCAGCAGAACAGCCAATGAAGGGGTTTGAACCTTCGACCTTTCAGTTAATAGTCCAGCACTTAACCCCCACTGCACCACAGAAACTCCTTGCTTGAAGGTTAGATAGAAAGAAAGAATAGTCAAGTCATGTTTTGAAACATACCAAACTGATTCTACACAGAGATAGTACAGATGTAAATAAATCATGCTGAGAAGCCTAGAGATGACAGTGGAAGCCCAGAATCCATTTATAAGGTCCCTACATAAGACCAGTGAATACCCTCTGAACATACCCTGTTTCCTCGAGAATAAGACTGTCTTATATTAATTTTTGCTCCCAAAGATGCGATAGGTCTTATTTTCAGGGGATGTCTTATTTTTCCATGAAGAAGAATATGGTACACATTTACTGTTTATTGCTTTATTAAAAGAGATCTCGCACTTCCTGTCTGCTCCGGCTGCACTGTGGCCAACAGTGAGCTGCGCGGTGTCGCCTGCCACTATGGTCCAGAGTCCAGAGTTTCGGTACCTTCTGGGGGCCTTATTTTCGGGGGGATGCCATATATTTCAGTGAGAGGCAAAACTATTAAGTAGGTCTTATTTTCGGGGGATGTCTTACTTTCGGGGAAACAGGGTAGTACAGGGATGTAAATCGCCTTGTTTTCAGGTAGCTTTATAAAGTTGTTTATGGCAGAGATGAGTTATGTTAAAATATAATTCCATATCATTTGATCTCCGTTTGGACCCATTTTAAGTTGTGTCTGTTTTTAATATTTTCTGCTTTCTTTTCAGTTGAGGTTTTTCTGTATTTTGTCAAGTCACTGTTGGGTTTTTGTTTGCTTGTTTGCTTCTTGTTTGTGTTTTGTATGATTTTCTATTTATGAAACCCAAAACAGGTAAATAACTGGATAGAGACAATGACTGGATTAATAATTACCTAGCGGCATGGCAGGTGAGTTTGGGGGAAATGAGGCACTAACAACCATGAGTACTAGAAGACAATGTTTTCAAATTGACTCTGGTGATGAGTGCACAATTGAATACTTAAACTCTATGATGTGTGAAGTCTATGCCAACAAAACTACTTAAAATAAAACTATTTAAATCATTTATAAATAAATAAATAATGCATACACACAATCTGAGGCCCAGTGATGCAGTAGTTAAAGCACTTAGCTGCGAACTGAATGGGTCAAACCCAACAACTAATCCTCAGGAGAAAGATGTGGCGATGTATTTCTGAAAAGATGTACAGCCTTGGAAACCCTAGGAAGCAGTTCTACTATGCCCCATAAGGATGCTTTGAATTGGAACCAACTGAAGGGCAATGAGTCTATGTATCACAAATAGAAACTTAATTCTGTTTTACTTAGAAAAGCCTTGAACCTATTCAAATTCCAAATGGCATGCTGCTCTTTAAATTTCCTTAAAATATTATGTAAAAGTAAAGGTTTCCTTTTTTTTGCTCTGTGTCCTGATTCTACCTCCTTTGTTAAGAAGAGGTAGGGCTAAGAGATGAAATTCAACAACTGAATTTTGCAACATTTCAAAGGTGTCTAATTAAAACTCCGTGACTATAGGAAAGTAGCAGCTGATTAGACCACACATCAAATATTGGTTATTGTTGTTGCGTCGGCGTCAGTTCCAACTCATAGCAACTCATCAACAGAACAAAGCACCGCTCGGCGGCACCCTCACAATTGTTCCTATGTGTGAGCCACTGTTGCAGCCTGTTTCATCAGCTAGTACTACTAATGATTATTTCAGTAGTGCTCTGGTGAGAGTGCTTACATATCTTAGGATCTTTAAGTGGGGGTTCTCTTTGTCAAACCATGTACCTGGAACCATGAACCTGAAAATATGCCCTAATACATTGTTTGGAAATAATGCAACGGACGCTATGGGGCACATGTGCAGATAAAATGAGAGTCCCAGCAAAGACCATGCCCCACCCACAAATATACAGATCTTTAAAAAAGGTAAGATGATGTGGTAGTTATATAATCTGTTGTCAATTTGAGAGGATTAAGGTGTTGTTTAGCCTGTCAATCAGGTCGCAGCTTGATGTCCTCATTTGGAGGCATGAAGGGGATAAAAAGCTCCCTGGTGACAGGATGCAGGCTGACTCCCTGGGAGACATTCCAGCGGAGAAGAGACATGGAGCTACGCTGGGCCGGAGGAGCCACACAGAGACCCCTGCCAGCGCTGAGATGCTTACACACCACTGGATCCAGAATACTTTCCACCCACTGACCTGTGATCCTCCTGCATTTGGCATCATTTCATGTGTTTCGTGAGTCTGAAGAGGATTTTATAGACTGTTACCGGACATATGGGCTAATATAGGACTTGTGGACTTGATCTGGACTGGGCCGGGACATTTTCTCAATACAGTGAACCCTCGCCACTTCGCGCTTTGACTTCCGTGGCTTCACTCTATCGCGGTTTTTGCGTAACAGCGCATGCTCTGTCATTACTGCCACTGATTGGCTCATACTGTACATGCTCCTGTCTGCATCGCTACGTATCGGAGCTACGTATCAGATGCATTTTTGCTTTTGTACAGTGTACTGTAATTGTTTGCGATTTTTAAGAAATTTTATCTAAGCCCTATGATGGCTCCTAAACGAGCTGCTTCTTCTAAGCCTTCTGACAATAAAAATAAGCGCCAGAGGAAGATGCTCACCATCCAGGAAAAGGTAAAACTTTTGGATATAAGGAATCCTACTTCGTGGAATTTCATTTATCACAGTAGGGTCTAGAACCGATTAACCGCGATAAACGAGGGTTCACTGTATTCAGTTGCCCTTGTATATAAAGCTCTTTCTTATACACATATGAACGTCTCTGTGAATTTGTTTCTCTGGTCTACCCAGACTAACACAGATGATATTTTAGAAAATTCTAGGATGTGCCAACCAGGTCAAGATATAAAACTACAACCAAACAAATCATTAACCCCATCTTTTTTCCTTAGATTCTGCACTTTTAAATAATATACAAAAAAATTTAAGGATCACTTATATTCATCAAATTCTTTTAATTTTGCTTATTCCAAAACTTTTCTGAAAACACTTGGTTATGTGAGTGCTGCTAAATTTCTGCTCTAGCTAGCATATATAAACTTCATCCTAGATTTTTGGATTAAATAGCTAGCATTCTTTTTTATCTGCTTCTGGAATCATGGACATGCATGAAGTATTCATCTAGGGATTTTCATATTATGCCAGAAGAATGGGCTAGAATTTGGGGGTCGAACGACCCTTTCACAGGGGTCGCCCAATTCATAGCTAGCAAAATTACAGTTATGACATAGCAATGAAAGTAATTTTATGGTTGGGGGGTCACCACCACATGAGGAGCTGTATGAAGGGCCGCGGCATTAGGAAGGTTGAGAACCACTGCTCTAGGACCTGCCAGTAACTGCTCCCTCACCATCAGGCTTTTTGCCCAGACTCTTCGTGGTTAATCTTTCACACTGCTGAGTTTCAGTACACGTAAAATATCTCAGAGACAATGCATTTAAAAGTATTTATGTTTTAATAATTATTTAGGGTATAAGAGTAACACACACAAAAAAGCAGTATTGAGCAGCCAGTAAGTTGTAAGAAGATTTTAAGGTGGAACTCCCTCACTCAGGTCACCTTCCTGATGCAATTAATTATGTACATTTATCATTAGAAAGCCAGAGAGAAATGTATGTGTAATCAAACTATTAGAACACTTCCATCCAGGGGTTTGGTGGAAAACAGACATGTCACGCACACTGAGGCAACAACAGTGAAAGTGGAAAATGTGTATGTATGATCTCTGATCCAGCTATTTCACCTCAAAGAAAGAACAGTCCTGACAGCCAAAGACACATACATAAGTATGTTCGTTCAGTGCAGCATTCTGTATGATTATGAAAACTGAAAATACCCTACAGGTTCATCAGTAAAGAAGTGGTTCCATACAGTGATACATCCA